AAATAAATGAAACAAAAACTAATTTAATAAATTCCTGTCTCTGAGCTGTTGGCTTTAAGGAACTGAGCAATTTAGTTGGATAGCACAGTATTAATGTCTGAAAATAAGCTGCTTTAAAGTCAGCATCAGCCATAAACTAAATAATATTTCTGTATTAATTACAGATTTAGTCAGTCGTACACTTAGTTCTTATCAGTGTTTAAAAGAGGACGTGTTAAAACACTGTTTAGTCAAAGTTAAACATGAAATGTCAAAGTTAGCTATAACTGGCCCTTCGAGAGCCACCATAACGCTCATGTGGCCCTCKGTGAAAATGAGTTTGACCCCCCCTGATCTAAGGGATAACCAGGACAAAAAACAAAGTAGTAGCAGTAAAAGTCTCAAATGATTCAAATCGATCATGTAGCCCAGGTATTTGTATCTCATCTTTTTTTTATTTTTCCTTCACAGCCTTTGCAGAGCTCCAGACAGACATCCATGAGCTCACCCAGGAGTTAGACGGAGCCGGGATTCCCTTCCTGGACTACCGTACTTATGCAATGAGGGTCTTGTTCCCTGGAATTGAGGACCACCCTGTGCTCAAGGAGATGGAGGTACGGGTCAGTACACCGTTGAGCAACTTTCAAACTAAACCAAACTAACAACAACTAATCAATGCAAGCAGAACARAAGTGTTTGGGGGGGCTATTATTACAAACTAATGCAAAATATAGAAATATACATTCTCTGCATGGCTTTCTTTTAAAGTGTTTTAAAGTTGTTTTTAATGCTATTAAAATGTCCCTCTGGCTTTACTGCTTAATACCTCTATTGCCATTATCCCTTGATGGGTTTCATCAAAGGGATTTTTTTTAAGTCTGAGATGTGAGAAAAGAAGAACTCAAGATGGTGTTTAGCTTGAAGCAATCACATAACCTAAATTTTACCTACTTTGCCTTTCATGTGTTTATCCCCATCACTGTGAATGCAAATACCTTTTTTTTCCAAGTAGCCTAGTGTCATCAGCAGTCTGCTTTATAAGAAGAATCACCAACATGTTTTCTTCGTGTTTCTGAAAAGAATATTAAAACTGTGATTACCTGGAAAAGAGTAGTATTTTTAGATACACGAGATAACAAGATGTGAGTATATAAATATAAAAAGGTAGAACGGTTGCAGAGCAGCAATACAAGTCAGAGTCACCCGGACTGTTGGACTACTTTATACATCACTAAGTCCCTGTTCAAGCCAGTACTTGTACCCCCATCCAAGTACAGCTGAATGGAAATAATGAAGCTGATTTATAAAGACGTTCCAACACCAAGGCTAAGCAAAGGAGAATTAATAGTATGTCTACTTTAAGCACTCTCCTCTGAAGCCTCAAACCACAGAACCAAGTTTGCAATCAGCAGTATTATTAAGCTGTAGAATCTGGTGCTGCTTCACTGACTCTGATTGGAGCGCTGACTTTTAGGAGGAAAGGCGTGATTTCTTTGACCTTTTTATATTTTATTTTAATTACTTTAATCCACAAAGTAGGTTTATATCTTCAGGAAATGGCACTCTGAGTTGTAGTTTGTGTATTTTACTCAGTCTTTGTAATTATTATTATTTTTATTTAGTTCCAATTTCTTCAGAACTTCCTATCGCCTGGGCTACATTGACTGCATCATGGTATTTTCTTACGAATGTAGCCTGAACCCTTTATTTGGTTCGTTTTATAT